GGCCTCTGCAGATTGGGATTCCAAAGAACTCACATGAAAAAATTAGGGGGTGGGATGGGACTGGGATTATAGCTCAGGAGTAGATAGTGCTTGCCTAGAGTCCATAAATCCCTGGGTTCGAGGCCAGCCTGGTCTACAGAGTGAATTCCAGGACGTCCAGGGCTATACAGAGAAACCCTGCCTCAAAACCAGAAAGCAAAAACAAAACAAACAAAAAACCCCACACAAACAAAATGGAAATCAACAGGGTTTTGGTTCAACTCCTGGCTTTGGCTTTAGTGGTTATAAAACAAGCACAAGACATTCATTAAGCCTCTTAATCTCAGGGCCCTGAGATTTTGTCAGACAAAACCACCAATAGCCTGAGCAATGGGAGGACTATGAGATGGATCTGAAAGGCACTCTTAAGTCTCGACACACCCCCAGCCCCAGCCCAGTGTGTATACTGTGATGGATGTCCTGGTGCATTCTTCTGTCTTTCTGCTCTCTCAATCTCCCTGACCTTTGTCCACACCCCAGGAGGAGGGGTGGTCCTCACATTCCCAGGTTGGCTTGGCAGCTGTCTAGAGGTGAGTTTTCCCAGTATACCATATGTCTGTTGAGCTGCCCTCCAGGGCTGGATCTCTGACTCTGTCAGCAGACAGAGGACATGAGAAAGCTACAGGCTGTTGGCACTTAGGAAGCATTTTTGGCTGATGTAACCGTTGCCTTTAATGGCCATTGCTTGCAGTTCATACACTTCAACAGGTTTAGCTGCTAGAGGACTGGGGTAGCTAATGAGTTTCTCCTAGTTCCCTCTCCTTGCTAGTGTAGTGATATATTATTTATGATTTATTAAAGCTTGACTGAGGATTCATAAAAGCAAAGTCAGCCTCAAACTATAGAAATCAGGCAGTGGAAATACACACTTTTAATCCAAGCAGCCAGAAGCTAGGAGGTCATGGTATGGCCACCTTTAATCCTGTGACTCAGGATTAAGAGGTAGACTGTTCTCTGTGATTCCAAGGCCACCGAGTTTTACACAAGAGTGGAGCGGTCTAAAAGAGAATTATAGCTCACACCTTTAATCCTAGCACTAGAGGGGTTACAGTCTGAGGCTTGGGATCAGCCCATTTATTCTGGGGTAGAGGTAAGAAGCTAGTGGCCAGCTGCTTTATTTTTCTGATATTCATGTAACATGCTAGAGTGGGCCTTGGCCCTCTAGACACTAAGAAAGTGCTCAGGTGTGGTGCCCTTTTACCTGTGGGACCTAAATACCGTTCATCCTAGTCCTGAGTAGGGCAGGGTCATCTGTCAAGGCAAGCAGTGGAGTGGAGGACTTGAGTTTGGTGAGGGTCATAGGCAGTGATTGTTTTATAAGATCTTTTTCTCATTATTGTGAACGAATTTAAATACTGCAATGGTTGTTACCTTTCTCTCACCAAGTGGTGCTTGTCCACCCTACCTTCTGATCTCCTCTCAGATGCTAACAAGGGCTTTATTGGCATTAATTTCCTCCAGGAGAAGCCAATATGGAGTGAAATAGGGGTTTGTTGTGCTCACTGTCCATCAGGAGCAACTAAGAAGTGGTTCTCAACCTTCCTAACGGTGTGACCCTTTGATATACTTCCTGGTGTGGTGGCCCCCAACCATAAGTGTGATTTTGCAATTGTTATTAGCACGACGCTCTAACCAACTGAGCTAGCCAGCTAGTGGTGATTTTGCTATTGTTATGAATCATAATGTATCTGTGTTTTCTGGTAGTCTTAGGTGATTCCCTGTGAAAAAGGGTAGTTTGACCCACAGGTTGAGAAAAGCTGAGAGCCTAAGCCATCAAGAAAGACATCAACCTAAACCAGCGGACTCTGGGCCTCCCTTATGTGGGATGAGTGAGTTATCCAAGGGGGTTGTAAGCAAGGGAATTCAGGTTACAGGTCTCAGCATTGCCCTATGCAGTTTGGGCCTTGAAAGGAACTAGATAGCACCACACTCTGGAAAACCACGCTTAGAAGACAAAGGTCCTTGGCTACCTCAGGTTTCCAGACCATCCCCTTGTGTTTTAATCAGGATTGGGGGCTTTGCTGAAAAGGAAGCCTAGAAGAAGCCTAGAGTGGGTTCCCAGGGTGGTGCGTGTGCCCTCGAGGGGTGAGAAGGCTGCTGGGATGTCTTTCTTTCATTGGTTGGGTGGCCCTGCCCTCCTCCCTCCCCCTCTCTCCTGGAACATTCCAGACATTCCAGCCGATCTGCCTGCCATTGCTTTCTGGATATGGATTAACATCCTTGCAGAGATTTGATTTCTCTGCTACCACCCTTCTCTTCTGCCTTTCCTGAATAGAGTCCTGAAACATATTGAAGAGGGAAGTTTTGGCCTTTGATCTTGGATTGCACTAATGAACTGTTTCCAAACTAGGCTCCTGTACTAGGGTAGCTTTTATGCCTAATTGCTGGGACTCCAAGGCAGGCGGCCTTCATCTTCTGCCCTCTATCCAAAAGGATTTTCTGGAAGGAGGTGTCCTGGGCTGGACTATTCCTGCTTTTAAACCAAGGCAGCATTCATTTCTTTCCCCAGATCCTACACCAAGTGGGAAGTAGAGAGTGTTAGTGTGTCTTTTTGGTCAGCAGTTGTTTTGTGAGAGTCTTATAAAGGAGGTCCACAGCTTCTTTTTGGCTAATCCTTGGACCTGAAGGGATGAGGTTAAGTACTCAGAAATGGGCTTGATGGCTGTGTGTGTGTGTCCCCTTGAATTTATGATCCTCTGCCAGTACCTTGGGTGTTGGGATTACAGGTATTTGATACTATGCTTACCTTTTTATGCAGTGCTGGAACTTGGACTAGGCTTTGTGCCTGCCAGGCAAGTATGCCCACTAAGTTACATCTGTTTGTCTTTCTTCCCTCCCTCTTTTTATTTATTTATTTATTTATTTATTTATTTTTAAAGAGTTTTTTTTTAATGTGTGTCTTACCTACATTTCTTTCTTCTTCTTCTTCTTCTTTTTTTTTTTAAGATTTTATTTATTATGCATACAGCATTCTGCTTCCATGGCGCACACCAGAAGAGGGCACCAGATCTCATAAGGGATGGTTGTGAGCCACCATGTGGTTGCTGGGAAGTGACTCTGGAAGAGCAGTCAGTGTTCTTAACCTCTGAGCCATCTCTCCAGCCCCTTCCCTCCCTCTTTTGCCCTTACTCTAATGCACCACCACTGCCCAGCTCCTTTACTTAGCTATTTCATCCCAGAGTTTCCTCACTAGCTCATGGATAAAGACTTGCCATTTTCAGAAGACCTTTGTATTTTATTCCCTGAGACACTAAACTCTGCCTTGGTAAAGAGACTGGCCTGGGACAGCCAAGGCCAACACATCCACAGTTTGGACACAGCATTCCTTTTGTGTCTCCTCACTAGCCAGCAGCTGGGTTACAGCTCATCTGAGGCCTGAGATCAAGTGACTTAAGCAAATCTTTATTTTAATTTATGTTATATGCATAAGTGTTTTGCCTGGGTGCATGTGCAGTGACTCTGGAGGCCAAAAGAGGGTATCTGATCCCCTCCAGTTATAGGGATTGTGACCCATCCATCATGTGTGTGCTGGCAATTAAACCCTGGTCCTCTAGAAGAGCAGCTAGTACTCTTAGCTGCTGAGCCATCTATCCAACCTTCTAAACCTTGACTTTGAACTAAGAGTTTGTTCAGGATCAAAGATATACAGAGATCTAAATGACAATCGACTAACACATCAAGTCAATTTAAATGTCTTAAACTCAGGGATTAAGGTATTGATTTGGGTGGTGAGCAGTTGCTCTGGGAGTCAGCCCTGAACCTTAAAGTGATCCTCAAGGGAAAATTTTTTCTTTTTGAGCTGTTTGAAAGCTGGGATGAGTAAGTATGGTATAGTCACCAGGGAGGGAGAAGGTGCTCCTTGTGCCGGGCTTGGTGTTAATCACTCTGGAGAGCCTTCACCACTCACAGACACATCTATTGTTACAGTTTAAGGACTTACTCCAAGTCTTTACAAATATTATCGACTGCCACCTCCCACCTGTGAATGGGTATTATCCCTTTCTACAAAAGGGGAGACTGCGCCTCAAGTTAAATAATCTTATAAAGATCAGTGCTAATGAGTGGTTTAGATCCCTAACTGTGCCAAGGGCTTAACCACTGTACTATTATCTTAGGTAATTGTAATAATATATTTTCCCCAATGCGGTGTGAGCACCTGGTCCAGACATTCCACCTCTTTTGTTCATTGGTGTGCCCCAACCTCAGCAGCCAAGCAGAGCTTGAAGTATGTGCCAGTTAAAGAGGTGTTGAATGACTGTCTTACTTGGCATTTAGATTTATTTATTTTATTAGGTATGTGTGGGTATGTACCTGTGAGTCAGGTCCCTGAGGTAGAGAGGCGTTAGATCCTCTGAAGCTGGAGCTCCAAGCAGTTGTGACCTGCCTCGTGGGTCCTGTAAGAGCTCTACGTACCATTTCTCTAGCTCCCCTGGATTTGTTGTAGTGCTGGACAGAGGAGTATGTGAGAAAGCTAAGTTATAGCAAATTTTAAGAAGTTTGTGATCTTTTGCTGCCATTATGCTGAGAACATCTGGTTCTGCATTCCTCTCTGGCCCTGTTGGTTGTTGGGCTGTTGGTTGTTGGGTCAGTGAGGCCCCTTCCGATTTGCAGTCTATATTCTTACTGGGTTGTTATTTTTTGTCCCAAGATGTTTCACCATGTACTCTGGCTGTCCTGAAACTTACTATGGAGACCAGGCTGGCCTCGATCTCAGATCTGCCTCCCTAGTGCTGAGAATAAAGGTGTGAGCTACCACCCCTGGGCTTTCCTTGCTATTTTAAGGGCTGAGGATCTGGTGTGTGCCAGTCCATGAATGAGTTCAGTTCCCGGGACTGGGGAGGAAGCCACCATTCTACAATTTTGGTGAGATAACAAGCTAGGACAAGGATGCGAAACAGCTATGTCATGGGAGCTAAACCTTCTGGAATTTTCTCTACCTTATTTTTTTCCTTTTATTTCAGGAGTCGGAAAATTCAGATTCGGAATATTCCACCCCAGCTGCGATGGGAAGTAAGTGGGGAAATGCACAGTGGGGTGAGAGCAGAAACAGCTCAGGGAGGGGAGGGGCTCTGTCCTTCTGAGTTGGTAGACATGACTAGAGAGTTCTCCCCCTGGGTGTCTCATTTGCACTCATACCCTGGGGCAAGAGGCATTAAGGAGGTAGGGAGAATGCTTTCTGATGACAGAAGTCTGAGTCTGCTTCAGATTTCCTTAGCACAGAGCCAGGGACATTCTTGCAAACCCTTGATGTTGCCTTCAGCATTAGGAATCTAAGGAGATGGAACTGAAGTGCTCAAAATGTCTAGTTCTTCGTGGTGTCCCAGAGCTTTGGGTCAGGGGATGTCCAGGCTCTGGGATACTCAACCCTTTCCTACTTCTCCAGGTGCTGGATAGCCTGCTGGCCCAGTATGGTACAGTGGAGAACTGTGAGCAAGGTAAGACATATGCAAAGAGGTGGATGCCTTCAGTATCAAGCTGTTCTGTGACCATAGACCACTGTGAAGATCCAGTGTGGAGTAGCAGGAAATGTGCTAGATAACTGGCCCCAGCATGTGCCCTACTGTGTGAAACCGTGAAACTGGGTTGTTGTGTGGTAGGCAGTCTTGGAAGCCTCTCATTTTTCCTTTTTCAGTTTTTCAAGACAGAGTCTCACTGTGTAATGCTGGCTGGCCTGAGCTCAGATCTGTTAACCTCTGCCTCTTGGGTTTTTGGGATTAAGACGTGGGCCAACACACTTTACTTCATTACCCTTTTTCGATGAGTTCCAGGCTCGGCTCACAGGAATCACAGTATTTCAGTAGAACTTTTAAGAATAGAATTTGTACTCTTGAGAGGCAGAAGCAGGAAGATCTTTGAGTTTGAGGCGTGCGGGGGTGGGAAGGGGTGTTGGAGACATGGCTCTCCAGAGGTCCTAAGTTCAATTCTCAGCTACCACTTAGTGGCTCACAACCATCTATGAGATTTGGTGTACATGCAGGCAGAACACTACTAAATAAATAAATAAATAAATCTTTAAAGTAAATCCAGAGTGTAACCTGATCTACAGAGAGAGTTCCAGGACAGCTAGGCTATACAAAGAAACCCTGTCTAGGAAAGACAATAACAACAACTGAATCAAAGCAACAAAAGAAAAGGACAGGGGAGGCAGGAGGAGAGTGTGGGGAGATGGATGATTCAATGATAAAGAGCACTGGTTATAGAGGCAAGCGGATCTCTGTGAGTTCGAGGCCAGCCTGGTCTTCAGAGCAAATGCTAGGATAGGCTCCAAAGCTACACAGAGAAACCCTGTCTCGAAAAACAAAAAAACAAAAAAACAAAAAAAGGAGCTCTGGAGAGATAGCTCAGAGTTTAAGAGCACTGACAGCTCTTCCAGAGGTCCTGAGTTCAAATCCCAGCAACCACATAGTGGCTCACAACCATCTTTAATGAAATCTGGTGCCTTCTTCTAGCATGCAGGAGAACACTGTATACATAATAAAATCTTAAAAAAAAAAAAAAAAAAAAAAAAAAAAAAGCACTGGCTACAGAGGCAGGCGGATCTTTGTGAGTTCGAGGCCAGCCTGGTCTCCAGAGTGTGTGCCAGGATAGGCTCCAAAGCTACACAGAGAAACCCTGTCTTAAAAAACAGAGAAGGGGGGGGGGTGTGCTGGCAGAACGTCCATGCACATAAATTAAAAATAATTGAAAAGTTGTTTTAAAAATCCACCAAACAGTAAGGCAGTGGTGGCACACACCTTAATCCCAGCATTTGGGAGGCAGAGGCAGGCCGATCTCTTGAGTTTCCACAGCCAGGGCTACCCAGAGAAACCCTGGAACAACCATCCCCCATTCCAAATCCCCCAAACAGGGTTTTATTTATTAATAGTTTGTGTAGGCAAAATCTTTTGACAAGTATGCCCACAGAGAGAAGAGTAATAGGAATTCCAAGCCATACAAAATTATCTGTGATTTTGAGGATCCTCTATTTCTAGGAGGATAAACTCTTTTGCATAGAAAAAGGGCTTGGGGTGATTTGCCTGGACGTAGGGTCATCTTTTTTTTTTTTTTTTTTTTTTTTTTTTTTTTTTTTTTTTAAGCCAACACTTTAAAGAGCATTACATGTTCATGGGTGTGGTGTGATGCATAGGGGTCCTGCTTTAAATAAGCATATTAGCCTCCTCGCTTTGTCATTTCTTTTTGGTGAGAAGATTCAATCTTGTACTCTCTGAAATACATGGCTGTCATACCACTCAGAAAGAAGCATCCTGAACTCTCAGTGTCCTGTCTGTCACTTAGCATCCACCAATCAGCCTCTCCCCAGACTTCCTTCCCTGCCAGTCTTCCCGCCTCTGTTCTCAGTTCAGTGAGAATACCTTTCCCTCCCGCTTCTGTTCCTTTCTCCTTTTCCTCTTTTCCCCATTTCCTCTCCTTTCCCCTCCTTTTCTCCACCCCTCTTCCCCTCTCCCTTCTATTCTCTCCACCTGCCTTCACATTCCTGAGAGCGTGTGGGCACTTGTCCTTAACCTGACTTATTTAGTTTAACTTAGTAATTTCTGGTTCTATCTAGTCATAGATGAGGGGATTTCAATTTATTTATTTTTGACTCAATGGTGTGTTGTGTGTGTTAGGGTCAGGGAAGTGCACGCATGAGTGCCTCCTGTTGGCCACTTTAGATGCATTGCATTTCTGCCTGTGAATGGTGAGTGCAGCAGCCACTTTTGGAAATCTTTAAGAAACATTGATGACTCTGTCTGAGGTTTAAATATTCATTTCTAAATTCTTTGTAGAGGAGGCAAGCTGTGTGTGTTGACATATGATTACAGACCTCCTGCCCAGCAGTGGAGTTCTGTCTTTGCTTTAACCTTCTAACTTACCTTTCATCTCAAATGCCAGAACACAGCGTAATTCGCTCATAGCTGTTGCCCAGTCCTGATTTTAGCGGGACTCATGACAGACCAGGGGGGCCACACTGAGCACCACCTTCTGCCACCCCTAAGAAACAGGCTCAGCCAGGTTGACACCTGAATCTTTCCCTGGAACCCACATGATGGATGGAGAGAGCTGACTCCCTAAAGTTTTCCTCTGACCATCACACATCTAAACACATGCCCATGCATGCACCAGAAATAATTTAAAGTAGTTTAAAATGAAATTAAAAAGATTCCACAGATGTTGCTAAAGGCTCTCACCAGCCCAGGATGGCCTCAGACCAGGGCCTCAGGCCTGCACCACCACACTCAGTTTCATTTTAGGCAGGGCCTTGCAGTGTGGTCCTGGCTGGCCTTACAATTAGCCCAGGCTGACCAGAAGATCATGGCCATCCTTATTCTCGGTTTGCTGGGATAACTAGTGTGTTCTGCTGCACCCAACTTTAATTGTTAGTTACTGGTTTATTTGAGAAAGGGTCTCCCTTTGTAGCTTATTATTTTACAGTGTAGCAAAGGCTGGTCTTGAACCATGATCCTATTCCTGCCTTTGGGCCTTCTGAGTCCCAGAATTGGAGGTGTGCACAACTACCCTCAGCCTCAAATGTCACTTTCTTTTTAAATTTTTAAAAAATTTTTTTTACTTGTTTTAGTTTTTCTGAGACAGGGTTGCACTATGTATGTAGCCTTGACTGACTTAGAGCTTGCAATGTAAACCAGGCTGGCCTTGAATTAATTCATAGATATGCCTGCCTCTGCCTCCTGGAGTCAGTAGGGTATGAGCCCCTTAATTTTTAGAAATCTTTTTTACATTTATTGAGCTTGTGTGTGTGCACACACATTTGTCATTCCCACCTTGTAAAAGTCAGATGACAACTTGGGAGTTGGTTTTGGTTTTCTTTTTGGTTTTTCGAGACAGGGTTTCTCTGTGTAGGGGAGTTGGTTTTCACGTGGGGCTCTGAGATATGACTCAGGTTCTCAGCCTTGCCAGCAAGTTCCCGTTTTCCACTGAGCCATCTCACCTTGTTTTTTATTTTTATTTATTTTTAACTTTCTGTGTATGGCTGTTTGACTCTATCTGTGTTTCTGTACCATGTGTATTCAGTGCTGGAAGAGACCAGATCCAATTTCCTGGAAGTAGAATTACAGAAGGTTGTGAGCCACCATGTAGGTCCTGGGATGGAACTGGCTCCTGGGGAGGGCAGCTAGTGCTCTTAGCCACTGAGCCGTCTCTGAGGTATTTCTTTATCAGTACAGTTTTGAGTTCCTGATCTTTCTGCTTTCCCCTCCCAACTGTTGAGACTACAGGTGTACACCATAATGCTTGGCCTGGTGTTGCCCCCACCCCCAAACCCTTGGATGGGATTCATTCTTAGGACCCATAACTATGGTGGCCCAGTGTGTCCTATGTCCATTCTCAAGATACTTAGAATACTGGAGCCTGGAATTCCTTCTCTCAAAATGTGTCTTTGTGGATATCCTAGCTTAGAGAATGGATTTAGGTAGTCCCAAGTCTCTCCAGCTATTCAGGGAAGGAGACGCAGACCATTTTCTTGACTGTTAATCTGTAAGTGGCTAATCTCACCCAGTGGGTGTTGCTTTTTTGCTAATTGGACTTTCCCAGGAAAGTTTGCCTCCAGATTGGGAATGTGTTTGGCGGGTTGGTGCACCATCACCACATCTGGAGCAGGGGAAGGCTTCGATAGCCTGGCTTCCACTGTCTCTGGTGAAAGGGGTCTTCTGTGAGGGGTGTTTTCACTTGTGCTTTGAGAACCTTATTCCAAGCTTGGGGTAGTCCACTATTCAGCCTCTTGACTTACAAACAGCTTGGGTTTGTGGTCAGAGCTCTAACTTGGGTGACCCCTTGTCTCTACAGTGAACACAGAAAGTGAGACCGCAGTGGTCAACGTCACCTACTCCAACAGGGAGCAGACCAGGCAGTGAGTACCTCAGAGTGGGCCGTGTTCTACTGGAGGGGTGTGTGGGGGGACACACCCCTGTGTGTGGGTCCAGGCAGGCTGGAGTCTTCACTGGCTTCTGATAATGGTTTAGCTAATCCACAGAAGGTCTTTTCAGGGGTTTGTGTTTGCTTCATGTTTTGTTTCACAAATGAGAAATTTCTTAGTAAAAATGAACTGGAGGGAGGGGGGCTACTGATTAGGAGAGAAAGAAGATTGTCTCTAGGTACCCAGGACTGCAGTGTCCTCTATGTGTCGATGGTGCCATCTCTTGGTTATGTGGGGGAACTGTCTCATTCAAAAAAGAAAAAGGGAAGGTGGATGAAAACTGTTTCTATTTTGAGACCTTAGTGACCTCCAGTTCACTTACAAAGCCAGTGCTACCCCAGACGCCTGATTTTCCTACCCCCTATTTCCTGAATGTTGGGATCATAGGTATGACTTGCTGCTCCTGAATCAAGTGATGCAGGATGGTTAGGAGCCCAGCTGATGTCCCCACCCATGGGTCCCTGCCACCACCACCACCACCACAAGTCCCAGCTCTTTAGTTAGCCCTTAAGTTTAGCATTTACAGTTCTTACTGTGGAGTGGACAGACCACATATTGTGTACATTGGTTATTTATAGCTCTACCTGGCTGCCATAGGCTTTTGCCACATATTTGTTTTTTCCTTCAACATTTTCCAATGGTCTTAAAAGCATGAGGCCTTACTGAATCAATTACTTTTCCTTTAGTGTCTTCTTGTAGATTGGATAGTTCCCTAGAGATGGTTATCTCCCCATCATCACTGTGTTCCCAGCTGTAACCCAGTAGGTGCTTTGTGGAAGGAGGCACGAGGCACTGGATGTGATTGACAGTTGCAGTGACCACTGGACTTCTCTCTGTCCCCAGAGCCATTATGAAGCTAAATGGCCATCAACTGGAGAACCATGCTCTGAAGGTCTCATACATACCTGATGAGCAGATAGCTCAGGGTCCTGAGAATGGGCGCCGTGGAGGCTTTGGCTCTCGGGGCCAGCCTCGGCAAGGATCACCCGTGGCAGCAGGGGCCCCAGCCAAGCAGCAGCAAGTAGACATCCCCCTCAGGCTCCTGGTGCCCACGCAGTATGTAGGTGCTATCATTGGCAAGGAGGGTGCCACCATCCGCAACATCACAAAACAGACCCAGTCCAAGTGAGTACTGGGAAAGGGGGGCTGGGCATAGGGAACAGATGGGGGCCTGGGGAGAGAGGCTCCTGGAAAAAAGATGGTATGGGTATTGGCACTTTTCTCCTGGGAATTGTTGATTTGGCATGGGTGGTCGCTATTGCCAGTGTTATTTAGCTTTTTGTGGCAGTTGGGCAAGCCAGGAAACAGAATGGGTCTCTGTCCATATACTGTCACCTACAGGAAGAACTCCCTAATTCCCCATAACAAGTTGCCCAGGAAACCAGTCCTATTGAGAGTCCCTCACTCCTCAGGGACTTTATGATAAGTGGCCACTGAATAGTGGTCACAGCCTGGCTAATGTCCTGGCCCTTTGGCATAACTTATAATTAGGTCCCTCTCACACTGTAGTGTGAGAGGGAGAGGCTCAGGTTGTGTCCTTACTCATAGAACATTACTTATTTACTTGTGGTTGGGACAGTGTGACTTCCTGATACAAGGACTCTAGAAGAGGAAAACAGCTGTGAGGTGGACTGCATTGTCCTCTCCAGCCACCTCCTGGCAGAGGTTGTTAGGGCAGCACCTGGCCATGGTTCCCTGGCTCCTTTACTTTCCTGCTTCTATACTTGACAGGCCCATTTCCAAGGAAAGTGGATCCCATGCCTTTGGTTAACAAGAGGTGGGGAAGTCGGTGTTATTGGAGACAACTAACCAGCCTTATCCTTGTGGTCCTCAGGATAGACGTGCATAGGAAGGAGAATGCAGGAGCTGCCGAGAAGGCCATCAGCGTGCATTCAACACCCGAAGGCTGCTCCTCAGCTTGCAAGATGATCTTGGAGATAATGCACAAGGAGGCAAAGGACACCAAAACGTAAGATCTAGCTGCACTTCAGTGACTGCTGCCACTCCACCCAATCCCCCCTCCCCCCTTCTGTGCTATGAGTCAAGCCAGGCAGATTCTTGGCTACTGAGCTACACCCCAGCCTCTACTCAATTATTAATAACAACGATACAGAGATTTGGAAAGTCACAAACTGCACAGAAAACATAGAAGCTGAGACATAAGATCTTTCCCTTGTATAATTTTATGTACTCCGTGTTTCTATTTGTGTCCATATGTGTGGATATGTGTCCGTTTGAGTCTCCGTAGATGGAGTATGTTTAGGCAAGTGTGCATGTGTGTCAGCACAGGTGGTCAGGCTGAATGCTGTCAGTACATCTGTCAGTAAATATAAAGCCACTGCAGAGAGAGAAGCAACACAGGCCTTGAAATGTAGCACAGTAGCATGAAGTAGATGCCTACATACATGAGGATCTGAGTATGGGCCTCACTAATGCAAAAAAGTATAGGTGATTTATTTACAACACTTTCTGGGTTGGTGCTCTTTGGTGTGAATGGGGGTGTTTGAGGCTGGATCTCACTGTAGCCCAAGATAACCTTGAACTCCTGTAATCCCAGCCTTCATGAGTCCTGGCTTCAGTTTCTCTCTCTCTCTCTCTCTCTCTCTTTCTCTCTCTCTCTCTCTCTCTCTCTCTCTCTCTCTCATTCTCGCTCTCTCTTTCTCTCTTGTTCTCTCTTTTCTTCATGTGCATATATGTTTTGCCTGCATGTATGTCTTTTTTCTCTTTTTGAGGTAAAGTTTTTCTGTGTAGCCCTGGAATTCACTCTGTAGACTATGCTGGTCTCAGATTCAGATGATATACCTGCTTTTGTCACCTAAGCGCCCCATCAAGAGACATCCACCACTACCACCCCACTCAGTTGCTATTTTCTTGATCCAGCTTTATCGGGGTTCACTTAGTACAATAATGCTGTTAATAGACATGTTTGCCTAGAGTAGCTGGGACTGTAGGCACATGCTACCATATCTGGCTTCATTGTGTTGTTTCCCTTTTGTGTTCCCTCAACCCCCTTCATCTTGGGTGGACCCTGGGCCTCATGCATGCTGGGCAAAGAGCTCAGCTAAACTACCAAGCTAAACCCTCAAACTCTATTGCACCTGCCTTTTGTGTGTGTGGTGGGTGGTTTTTTGAGTGTACAGTTTGGGTTTCATTTATATAGGGCAGTATCTGCTGAAACCATGAGAATAATGCTTTGACTCCTAAAATTACATCCCACCTTCTACAGTCCATTCTCACCCACCATTTCTCTGTTGTATGCCACTGGTCTGGGTTTTGTAATCTTCTGACACTTGATTTGTCCTGGGTTTGTTGTGGATGACCTCATGGTTGAGTCTTTGTTGGCATTATTGACCAGGCTGTCCCCCATTTCCTCCTTAGGGCTGACGAGGTTCCCCTGAAGATCCTGGCCCATAATAACTTTGTGGGGCGACTCATTGGCAAGGAAGGGAGGAACTTGAAGAAGGTTGAGCAGGATACAGAGACGAAGATCACCATCTCATCGTAAGGCTTTCCCTAGTTCCCTTTACAGGAGTGGTGAGCACAGGGTTGGGGTACCATGCATTTCATCACTGAGCCTTAGTACCTGCCTCTGCTGGGTACTGGTTCTGCTGGCATAAGACCAATCAGAGAAGTGATGAGATCATTTTCTACATCTCCATAAGGGCTGGAGCACCTTCCTCTTGGCACATTCTACCTCTGTGCATCTCTTGGAAAGCCTGTGGCTAGGTTGTGGGCTTTTTACGTAAGTCTGTCACTCTGAGAGGTGTGCAGGCCTGGGTGCACTGGGCTGTCTCTGATCAGTGAAAGGTACGGGTTAGCTATTTGTAAGCACCCTGCCTCTCCATTCATTTCCTTAGAGACTGGCCTGTTTGTAGGGTAATTCTTCTGCAAAACAGCACAAGCAAAAGACCCCCTGCAACACAGCCATCCTGCATGTGTGGCGACCGCACCTTCACAATAAGTCTGTTTCCTCCTTGGCTGTCATGTGCTCTTTACCCTGGTTACCTGAGGCTGCAGATAAGTTAGACAGCCTTTAGAAATGCTGGCCCTTTAATTTTAGAAATTTTAGAAATGCTGGTCTTTTGACATTGTACCTAGCTGGGGCCTGGTCCCAGTCCTGCACTGCCCACTACTTGACATTGCCCTGTTTTCCTGCCAGGCTCCAGGATCTCACCCTCTATAACCCTGAGAGGACCATCACTGTGAAGGGGGCCATTGAGAATTGCTGCAGGGCTGAGCAAGAGATCATGAAGAAAGTTCGAGAGGCCTACGAGAATGATGTAGCTGCCATGAGCGTGAGTGAGAAGTGGCACCCTTCTGTGTTTGTTGCTGGGAGTTGAATGTAGGCCCTGGAGATGGCAAAGTCTTCTATCCCTGAACTCTGTCCTAGTCCCTCTTCCACACCTAGCAAGGGCAGCAGCAGACAGGGTGACCAGCATGACCTTGGAGTATGTATGTGTGGACACCATGTACATCCCAGGTTCCCACCAAGGCCAGAGAGGGCATCAGAGTCACTGGAACTAGAGTTACGGATGGTCATGTGCCACCATGTGGGTGCTTGGAATTGAACCTGGTTCCTTTGGAAGAGCCCTTAACCAGCTTTCTAGCCCCTCAGTTTGCTTTTAGACTTAATTTTTGGTTTGTTGGTAGTGGTCGTGCTGGGATCAAATCCAGGGGCTTGCACATTGTAGGTAAACACTCTGCTGCTGGAAATGGGTAAACTGTATTACTCAACAGGGCTGGTCATCTGGCTCCTAATGTAGGGTTGGGGGCATAATCTTGGGTTTCGTGGATTACTGTATTTTAGCCAATCTGATCTAGATGATGTGATACTCCTCCAGGAAAACTTGTATTGGGGTAGACAGAAAGGCCATAATTTAACTTCTTCTGAGATAAGACTTCAGTGTGTAGGCTAGAACCGAATTCAGTTCTCACTCCTTGGCCTCCAAGTGCCAGGAGGCTACCATACCCAACTCAGGATTTATATTTATTTATTTTTGTGTGTGTGCATATGTGTATGCAGAGGGCAGGGGGACATCAGATGTCCTGCAGTCCTGTTTCTGTCCCCCAAACCCATTGTGCTTAGGCACATGTGTGATCATTTCCATGGGTGCTGGTATTCACACTCAGGCCCTCAGTGCTCTTACCCACTGAACCATCATCCCTCTCCCTACCATCTGATTTTGCTTTTTTGTTTTTGTGTGTGTGTGTGTGTGTGGTTTTTGTTTGTTTGTTTGTTTTTGTTATTTTTTTTTTTTTCAAGACAGGGTTTCTCTGGCTTTGGAGCCTCTCCTGGCACTCGAGCTGTAACCAGGCTGGTTTCGAAATCAGAGATCCACCTGCCTCTGCCGCCCGAGTGTTGGGATTAAAGGCGTGGGCCACCAATGCCCTGCAGATTTTGCTGGTTTGTTTGAGACAGTGTTTCAGTGTGTAGCCTGGCTAGGCTGGTTTGGAACTTGATAAATAGAGCTAGCCTCTAACTCACAGAGATTAATCAATACTGGAATTTTATTCTCACCATGCCCAACCCCATTTTGATCTTCTAAAGGCAGTTGGGGATGGGATACCTAGCAGAAAGTTTCAGCACTACTGGGGCCCCAGGAATCAAAGGGAAAGTTGTCTCAGCTTCTCACAGAGGGGCATTACATTCTCAGGTTATGGGCCTCTTTTGCTTCCATCAGTGTGATAGAAATAACTAGAGAACCTGCTTAAACATACAGTTTAGTCCAATGAGGAGATCTCCACGGCTCAAGGGAAACCACAACACCAGGCAGATTTTGTACAAAAGCAAATAACTTCTTTGAGGAGCTGGGAGTCCTGCCTCCTCCTGTAGGTTAGCCAGAGCCACATCCTATGGCCCAGCAGCCCCCTCAGCAGGTTGACCCCATACCCTAGGCCACCCCCCTGGAGCCTGTGGGCGCGCTGACCTGAGTCTCTCCTCTCTCCTCCAGCTGCAGTCTCACCTCATCCCTGGTCTCAACCTGGCTGCTGTGGGTCTCTTCCCGGCGTCATCCAGTGCTGTCCCTCCGCCGCCCAGCAGCGTCACTGGGGCTGCTCCCTACAGCTCCTTCATGGTAAGTGGACGGTCTTCTGACTGGGGACCCATGGGAGTCAGAGCTTAGTGCATTGGCAAGATGGTGAGAGAGGCCTGCAGCTAGAGGCCAGCTGCACGAAAGCAGCCCAGCCCGGAAGCACCTGTGGCGTGGGAGCAGCTTCCCACTGATTGTGCTTCCCTTTAGCGGGATGAGAGCTCAAGAGTCCGTGGTAGCCTTCCATGACCTGATGTGTAAGGCAGCAGGATAGAGGGGCTCCTGGGTTCTGCCTCGCCCTACTCCCTGGCCCTTTGGTAAGGAGTCCCTTGTCCTGGCAGCAGGCTCCTGAGCAGGAGATGGTACAGGTGTTCATCCCTGCCCAGGCTGTGGGCGCCATCATCGGCAAGAAGGGGCAACACATCAAACAGCTCTCACGGTTCGCCAGCGCCTCCATCAAGGTGAGTTCTTCCAGGTCTAGTTCTTCACACTTTGGGGAATGAAAGCCCAGTCGCCTGTGGGTGTCTTCACTACTTCTAACTACGTTTCTAGGCTATATGAGAAGCAGTATAAGACAGCAGGCTGAGATGTTATGAAAATAGAATGGACCCAGCCCTGTTCTAAACCAATACCCCCACCACCTGCTGGACTCACTTTGCACGTGTGGGATGTAGGAAGCAGGCAGGGCCTAGGAGTGAGCACTATGTCTGTGCTGGTTCTTACCTCCCTGCATCCAGAATCCAGGAAACCAGTGCTGTTGTCAACTCTATGGGTCCAGGTTGATGGGTTTCATTCTATGGCATTTAAAGCTTTGTGATTCCCTCCCTGACCCCAAGAGAGGTGAAACCTCTACCTTCTCTATGTAGTCACCTCATAAGTCCCTGCCTCTTGGCAGCACCCTGCTAAGAAAGGACCCTCTCTCTGATGGGATGGTGGTGGGGAGCAGTCCTGCTGAGGAGATGTCACAGAGGCAGGTCCCTCATCACAGGTCTGTGTGCATACAGGAACTTGGATTTGAGGCTCTTTGTTCTTCTTCCCTTTCTCAGAATGGACAGAGGAAGGGAATTAGGGGATGGAGATGCCTTCATCTTCCTCTGGAAGCAGCCCCCTCTGACTAACTGTGTACTTTATAGATTGCACCACCGGAAACGCCTGACTCCAAAGTTCGAATGGTTATCATTACTGGACCCCCAGAGGCACAGTTCAAGGTCTGTTCCATATTGCATTTTCACAATGGATACAGGGAGCGGAGGTTGGGAACTTAACACATTCGGGGAAAAGGCTGGGGCGGCTTCTGTTTGCTGTCAGATTTCTGTCACGTCTTCCAGGCTCTACAGATACACAGCTGCGAAGCTGCTTTCAAAGTGCTGCTAAGCTTAATTTCTGTTCATGTCCACTTCCTCCCTCACTTCCTCATGGTCCACACAGGAATGTGAGAAGGAAGGGAATCTGAGGTGTTGGCATTTGATGCCGGCTCCTCTTTATGTCTACATCGCTTCACTTGATCTCTGTGAGGCTGGAGACTGGGTACCGGGTAGCTGTCTAGGCACCCAAGGAGCATCAGTTGCCTCCATTCATGGTTGTCATGCTAGTTATTGCCACATCCTGGAACCTATAAGTAGTACATCCTTTGAAGTGTATATTCATTTCTCTCTTTCAGGAGGGAGGTGGGAAGAGATTAAGGCAGGGTCTCAGTTTGTAACTCTAACTGGCCCAGAACCAGGTCTGCAGACCAGGTTGCCTATGCACTTGTGATTCTCTTGCCTCTGTAATCCTCGGATACTTATTTACTCATGGGTCATAATCTGAGGGTCTCAAGCATTACAGATAATCAGAGAACCGTTGAAGGTCACCCACTAGGGCTTTGCAACCACTTGCCTTAGCTGGCTGGTCCTCCTAGGTAGAGGAGCTAGGGGACTAAAGGCCTTACACTTAGATACACGGCTGCTTTTTATTTTTATTTTGGTTTTTTGAGACAGGGTTTCTCTGTAGCTTTGGAGGCTGTCCTGGAACTAGCTCTTGTAGACCAGGCTGGTCTCAAACTCAGAGATCTGCCTGCCTCTGTCTCCCGAGTGCTGGGATTAAAGGTGTGAGCCACCACCGCCCAACATACATGGCTGCTTTTAACCCTGACTTCTTCTCCCTAGGCTCAGGGAAGAATCTATGGCAAACTAAAAGAAGAGAATTTCTTTGGTCCTAAGGAGGAAGTAAAGCTGGAGACCCACATACGGGTGCCAGCTTCAGCAGCTGGCCGGGTCATTGGCAAAGGTGGCAAAACGGTGAGCTCCCAGGGCTGGAAGCTCCAGGCCTTGTTTTCTGAGACCCACCCTTTGTCTGGCTTTGTTCCTTTTACCTTCATTTGTCCACTGAATATTTCCCTGGCCCAGTGCCATTCAACTTCCTCTCCCCACTTGTGGTCCTGCAGTGGGTTTTCTTTTCTGGTGCTGTGTTTTAAACCCAGGACCTCACGCACTAAACAAAGCATCCTACCACTGAGTTGCCCTCCTCCCCCTATGCATTTCATTGCTGGCGCTCTGAGCTTCTCTCTGGCTGTCCCACCCGCTAGGTCAATGAGCTGCAGAACTTGACTGCTGCTGAGGTGGTGGTGCCAAGAGACCAGACTCCGGATGAGAATGACCAAGTCATTGTTAAGATCATCGGGCATTTCTATGCCAGCCAGGTATGCAGCATGCTCTCCTACCTTCAGAGGACTCAGGAGCCAGGAACAGAGAAAGGAGGGCTGGGATATGAACCGATCTGGTAAAACAGCCAGTGCTCTTAACTGCTGAGCCATATTTTCAGCCCCAATGGAAGAAAATGGAAGAATGAATGTGAGGAACTGTCCCATCACTGTTTGGTACCCTGTATCTGGACGTCTTTCTCCCACTGTTTCACTGCATAGTAGTTTAAAGTGAGACAGGGTTTCTCTGTGTAGCCCTGTCTTTCCTGGAACGTACTCAGTAGACTAGGCTGGTCTTGAACCTCACATCTGCCTACCTTTGCCTCCTGGGTACTGGGATTTAAAGGTGCGCACCACCACTGCCTAAAGTGGTTCCTGCTAATGTATGATTGGCACATCCTGAAATGTACTTATATGTAGGAGCTGCAGTTCCATTTCAGCTTCGGTAGCAGGTCAGAGTGTTAATTCCTCCTCCCCCAACACACACACCTCCCTCCCTGACTTAGGTCTCTCTTTCTCCATTCAGTAGAGGCTGTTGTTGGTATGCGAAGTGTCTTTCCTTGGAGGTCCTCATCCTCCTCATCCTTGCCTGTTCCCAATACAGATGGCGCAGCGGAAGATCCGAGACATCCTGGCTCAGGTTAAGCAACAGCACCAGAAGGGACAGAGCAACCAGGCCCAGGCACGGAGGAAGTGACAGCTCCTTCCTGTCCTATTGGCTCCAGATCAGCAGGCAGAACGCAGAACTGGAGGGCAGAGGGCCAGTGTGCTCTTCCCAGCAGGCCTGAGAATGAGTGGGAATCGGGCTTTTGGGTCTGGCTGGAGATCAGGTTTGCCCACTGTCTTGAGAAAAATGTCTCAGTGAGGAACCCTGATCTCTCGCCCCCAATTCATTCAGCCAGGTGGGCACCATGGCGCACCCCTTGGAATGTCACCATTGCAGTTATAGCTTGGGTTGCTTTTAAACGTGGATTGCTTTGAGGAAGTTCTCCAGCCTCATCAGAAAGATGGGTCAGATCCCAGTGGGGAAGAGAAATAAAATTTCCTTCAGGTTTTATAAACCTCAAAGGATAGTTTGTTTCTTGACCCCAGAATCTTTCTAACCTGACTTCTTGGTTATTGATAAATTCCTCCCATTCTTAATGCCTTGACCAATACCTTACCACTTCCTGTATTCATTTACAGTTTTAGCCTTGTGACTATGAGGGGTGGGGGGTGGCTAGGCCACAGCTTTGTTTACAATATTAACTCTATGGAGAACACCTGTCATCAGTGCTTTAATCCTGATCCTTCCTCAACCTACCAATGGGAACAGCAAGATAGAAAGGAGAGAGATAATAAAAAATATATACTAATCCACGTTTAAAAGGAGCCCTCGGCTGAGGATAGAGCCCAATGGTCAGAGTCCTTGCCTGGCATGTTCAAGGCCCTGGGTTCCATCCTTGGCATCACAAAAAAGGAAAAAACAGCTTGCCCTCATGGGTGAGCTACTGCAGATCACCATCTAGAAAAATTGGCACAACAGAAATTTCTATTGGTCAGCTGGGACTTCCCCACCAAGACTCCCTAATAC